CTCCAAGACGCTCTCCCAAACAGGGGCGCCATTTGCAAAATCCCGAGCTGCCCCGTGGACCCCAGGGAAAATCCCGTGGACGAGCTGACGGCCCGGGGTCGGGATGGCAGATCCCAAAGATCCCCCGTGACCCCCGTCCTTTCGGACGGAGCCCGGGTCAAAGTCCAGGTCACACTGGGCCGTCCGGGGCCACGGGCCCGCCATCTTGAATTTCCTGACCCGTCGGTGGCCGGCCCTCGGGTCGCGTGACGTGGAGGACACGGTGGACTCTTCAGTAGACGTGGACGTAGGTGGCCTTGGAGTCTGTCCCCAACAGGTTCTTGGCGACACACTTGTAAAAGCCGGCGTCCCTCGCGGTGGCGCTCTGGATGGTCAGGGAGCCCTGCGGGTGGACCATCCTGTTGCCGTAGAGACGAGCTTGGGTCCCCACGGTCAGCCGTGACCCGTCCGGGGTGTCCCAGGTGACCTCGGCTTTGGGAATCCCCACGGCCATACAGGTCATCGTCACGGTGTGGCCGGGACGGGCGTAGATGACCGGCGTCGGCTCGGTGGTGATCCTGGGCGGGTAGGCGATGACGACGACCGGGAAGCTGACCACAGAAGGACCATGGCCGGCGTCCCCCCGACACAGGTAAGTCCCCCGGTCGAACACCGACACCCCGGCGTACGTCAGGGTCCGTCGTCCGAGACGGAGAAGCGACCCGCCTGTGCCGACCGACAGCGAGAGGACCCCGGGCGACCGTCCAGCGAGAGGCCACCGGGCAGCGTCCAGGTCGGACGCCAGGGCAGGGCAGCCGGAGGGTCTCGCCGTGGGTGATGCTGACCAGGTTGCGGTGGTGGCCGCTGGGGTCGGGTTCCCGGCCCACCTTGAGGGACACCAGCCGCTCGGCGTGGCCGGCCGGGTTGCTGGCCAGGCAGCGGTACGGCCCGGCGTCCGCCGGGGACAGGCCGCTGACGAGGAGCACGCCGTCCGCTCTGTGGTAGAACCGGCCGAGCCGCTGTCCACCGCGCAGCTCGGTGCCGTCGGGAAGGACCCAGGACAGCGTGGGCCTCGGGGTCCCCGTGGCCGAGCAGTTCAGGTTGATGGTGTGGCCGGCGGTGGCCGTGATGGCCTCGGCCGCGGGGTCGCGGAACCGGGGTCTCCCCCCCGGGTCCAGGACGGTCAGCTGGACGATCAGCTTGGCCTCCCCGCCCTCGTTCCGGCCGATGCACACCAGCTGGACCGACTCGGCCTTCCTCAGGGTCTTGATGTCCAGGCTGCCGTTCTGGTGGACGGTCACCCCGTTCCCGTAGTAGGGGGCCGGCAGGGTCACGCCCTCCGGGAGTGACCACAGGACCCTGGGCGTCGGGACGCCCTCGGCCAGGCAGTCCGATGACCTTCCGGTCCCCCCGGCGGCCACCTCCCGCACTGTGGTGACCGCGTCCGGGTGGCCGTTGATCGTGGGCGGCCGGACGGTCACCTGGACCCACACCGTCTTCCGGTCCTCCCCGCCGCTGTTCCGGACCAGGCAGGTGTAATTCCCGTCGTCCGAGCGCTGGACCTTCCGGATGACCAGCGTCCCCTCCCCGTCGACGTGGTACTTCTCGGACGCGGACGGGATGACCCTGTTGGCCGGGGACAGCCAGGTCACCTTCGGCACCGGTTCCCCTCGGGCCGCGCAAGCCACCGTCACCGTGTCCCCGTAAGGGACCCGGAGCGCCAGGTAGCTCTCGTCCGCGATGGCCGCCGGCCCGGACACCACCGTGACCCTGACGGTCATCTCGTCCTTGCCCAGCTGGTTTTGGGCCACACAGGTGTAGTCGCCCTGCTGCCTCATGCCGACCTCATGGAAATACAGGGTCCCGTTGTGGAAGACCATGTAGCGGCCACCGTCGTCCTCTCCGGGGTGGACGAGCGAGTTGACCAGACGGCCGTCGGGAAGACTCCAGGAGATCTCGGGGTCCGGAAGGCCGGTGGCCACGCAGTCCACCTTCAGGTCCCCCCCGTAGAAGACCCGGCGGTCGTGGCGGTCGTCCTTGTGCTCGATCTTGGCCGGCTTCATCACCACGTTCACCCGGAGGGCCACACGGTCATCGCCCACCCCGTTCCTGGCCACGCACAGGTAGTCGCCGCCGTCCTTGTCGGTGACGGACTCCACCAGCAGCGTCCCGTTGGCGAAGGCCTTGATCCGGCCGTCGGAGCTGCGGACGTGACAGAGGAACAGGGAGCGGTGGTCACGAAACAAGAACGGGGGACCGGGAACATGGCCGCCCCTCGCCACCGCCAGCTGGGGGTCAGCGGTTTCCGTCCCCAAAAGGGCGGTGAGATGTCACCGAGGTGACAGATTCGCAGACGGAAAAGCGTCGCGCTCAGTCACGACGCTTTTTTCCACCCTGTACTATCCCAAGACCGACGAATAGTCAGTCAAGCAAGTTTGTTGATTGACTTTCTTCCCTTCCTGCGCTCCTCCGGCCTGCTTGTCCCTCTTCCTCTCTCTCTCTCTCTCTCTCTCTCTCTCTGTCTCTCTCTCTCTCTCCCCAACAAGAGCCAAATGGCCAGCAAGGGCGGCCACCCTAAAAGAGCAAGTCCATCCCCCTTCTCGACACCCAACCTCCGTGCGCATTAATCTAGGACCAGGACACAGGCCCTTGTCGGTCCCTCCATCCCTCTGCCACCCGCGAGCGCAATGCGCCCGGGGCGCACGACAGCCAAATGGTCAACTAGGGGCGTCCACCCTGAAGAGCGCGTCCACCGCCCTCTTGGACACCCCGCGCCTGTGCGCACCACCCTGCGCTCCCCATGGCGCGCCATGTCGGTCCCGTCCCTCTCCAACCCGCGAGCGCAATGCGCCCAGGGCGCACGGGACCCGCACGGCCACCCCGGGGACTTCAGGGTCCAGGCACCTGAAGAGCCAGTCCACCATCCTTTTGGACACCCCAACCTCCGTGCTCATCAATCCCGGACCAGGACACAGGCCCTTGTCGGTCCCCTGTCCCTCTCCAACCCGCGAGCGCAATGCGCCAGGGCGCACGGACCCGCACGGCCACCCCGGGACTTCAGGGTCCACGCACCTGAGCGGCGTCCATCAATCCTCTTGGACGGCAGGCGCCAGAGGATGCGCGGCCAGGGTCCCCGGCCGCGCTGCAGTCCAGCCTCAGGGTCCCCCCGTAGCCGACGTCCGTCCTCGGGGAGAGGAGCCCCGTGATGTGCGCATTGGCAGCCGCGGGCGCCGCACGGTCAGCTGCACTCCTGCGCGCCGAGCCCACCGGGTTGGAGACCACGCAGTCGTAGCGGCCGCTGTCCTTGGGGGTCAGGTTCCGGATGAACAGCGTCCCGTTGGGAAGACGAAGAGTGGCCGTGCAGGAACTGCGATGGCGGAGCTGGGTTCCATCCCGCAGCACCCAGCGGACGCTGGGCCGGGGGCGCAGCCTTGCCGAGCAGTGGACGTGGATGCTGAGCCCCGGGGCAGCGAGATGTCCTCCGCCTGGTCCTGCTGGATGACCTGCGGCAGGGCGGCCACGTGCAGGCGGATGGACAGACTGTCCGCCCCCGCTGCGTTGCTGGCCACGCACCTGTAGACGCCTCTGTCCGAAAAGGTGGCGTCTTTTTATGGACAAGGTCCGGTTTCGTGCAAGGTGACCCGACTGGCCGCGGGGACACCGTGTGCCACACCGTCCTGTCGGGGAAGATCCAGGAAATCTGGGGGTCCGGGCTGCCCTTGGCCAGCACTCCATGGCTATGGTTTCCCCCAGGAAGATGGTGACGTCCTGGTAAGGAGAAGCCGAAATCTGAGGCTGCTGGACGTGACGGAGAGCAGCACCACCGTCTTGTCCGCCCCGTGCAGGTTGCTGGCCGTGCACAGGTACTGACCCCGGTCCTGCACCTGGACGTTGTGGATGACCAGAGATCCGTTCTTCAGGACCTCAAAAACGCTGAATTCGGTGTTTGGCGTCATCAGAGCTCCTGCAAGGCGACACGCGTTCAGTCAAGTCAAGTACCGTCAGTTATTCATTTTATTATCTTCAAGCCCCGCTCCCCCCACCCAGCCACCCACCCCGCCCCACCTCCAAGTGCAAAAGCAAATGTCGCTCAGAGAGAGCTTGGTGGTTCAAGGGCAGCAAGGAGGGCCTCATCTCAACTATCCAGAGGGGCCTGTAATCCCGCCACACCGGACGGTGATGCAAAGTGAAAAAATGGAACCCATCAAGAGGACGGTGCTTGCAAAGTGAAAAATAGAACTGCAGGTTGTAGACCACGGTCCTACTGCTGGGTACATCCCCCAACTCAGTGAGATGAGAAAGAGGACTCGGACCCGTTTTCACGGTAGCCAACGCCCGGGTGTCCACTGAGCGATCGGTGACGGTATCTGCCCACTGGGGAATACTGTTCAGCCATGAAAAAGGATGCAGTCCTGACCCAAGATGTCCTCCTGCGCGACTCCTTAGGGGACCCCAAAACCGTGCACCTCCGGGAAGATCACATCCCATTGCAGAACTACGCAGGCTCGGAAAACTCTTGTGCCAACTACACGTCGTCTTGTCCTACCCTGCACGCCCTTTCCCGTGTCGGGCTAGCCACGGGGTCTTGTGCTCATTGCCCCCGTGTAATGGGGACCATCTCGGTTTGCACAACCCCGGACGGTCGTTCCGCTGCGTTGCCAGGAGCCACCCGGGCCTCAGTTTCCCCTACGAGTCCCCTTTCCTGAACCCACCTGTGGACACCTTGGTCCAGGTGACAAAAGGCCTGGGCTTCCCTGTGGCCTCGCAAGGGAAGACGACATCGCCTCGGCCTTGACGACACCGTCTGTGGGGTTTTGCTGATGATTTGGGGTTTTTCCCCAAGCGTCCAGAATTTGGAGGCAGGGGGGCGCCCCCCACGACCTTCAGGCTGGTCTGCTGGAAGCTTCTGGAAGCTGGACGGGAGACACAGGGAAGGGGACGGAGGACCTTGTGGGGCCGGCCACGGGGGACGTTGGTGGCCGGGGTGACGGTGGTTCCACGGTGCGGGGAGCGGGAAAAAGCGGGGGAGCCGGGGGACCAAGAGCCCTGAAGATGGAGCTCTGGGAATGGACCCTGTTGTAGGGCCCAGGGTCCACTTTCCTGCGTCCCGTCAGCGGGGTCAGGGACGTGGACATCGGGGACTTTGGGGTGACCCCCGGCTGTGGGAACCCCTGCATTGGGTTTCTTGGCTCGGGGAAGACATTACGCCCGGTCTCTTCGGCGTAGCCATTGGGTCTGGGGTCCCTCTTGGGGTCGGTGACCTTATTAAGGGGGCCGGGTTTGCGCCAAGGGGCGGGTGTGGCCGTTGGTGATTTTGGGGTCGTGAGACGTTGGCCGTTGGGGAGGATCTGGGGTTTGTCGGTGGTGCGACGGGGAGGCTGGAATGTTCCAGAATGTCCAGAGGAAGTCCCGGTGGCCGCCATATGCAATGGCTGGACCGTTCCCTTTGGGAAGGGGGTTGTGACGGGGTCACGGCCCCGGGGTGAGGCAAATGGGTTCCGTCACCCCGGCGGTGGCTATCTGGGCCACGTGGACGAGGATTGGGGGTCACACCCCGCAGCGGTCCCTCCCCCAACTCTTCCTCTGAGGATAAGTTGACGCCATCTTGGTGGGAAGAAGGCGTAGACGGGTCACTCGGCCGCCATTGGGGTTGGTTGACGCCATCTTGGTGGGAAGAAGGCGTAGATGGGTCACTCGGCCGCCATTGGGGTTGGTTGACGCCATCTTGGTGGGAAGAAGGCGTAGACGGGTCACTCGGCCGCCACTGGGGTTGGTTGACGCCATCTTGGTGGGAAGAAGGCGTAGATGGGTCACTCGGCCGCCATTGGGGTTGGTTGACGCCATCTTGGTGGGACGAGGACATAGACGGGTCCCTTGGCCGCCATTGGGGTTGGTTGACGCCATCTTGGTGGGAAGAAGGCGTAGATGGGTCACTCGGCCGCCACTGGGGTTGGTTGACACCATCTTGGTGGGACGAGGACATAGACGGGTCCCTTGGCCGCCATTGGGGTTGGGTTAGGTCTCTGGTCACCGGTGGACCTTCGGTTTCTGGGTTCCCCACAAAATTGAAGGAGACGCCTTCCGTGGAACCCGGTGGTGGCGGGTGTGAGGTTGGGGTGACAATGGCGGGCTTGGTCGTCCTTTCTATCGGGGACACGGGAGACATCCAGTGGTCTGTCCAGACGGGACTAGGACTGGGATTCTGGGGTCCGCTTTCAGACGCGCTGTGGGTGACTTGGGCGTCGTTCTGACCGCCGATGGCCGTCGTTCCCCCTTGAGTGGAAGTCAACGCCATCCGTATTTTGGGGACGGTGGCCGGGTGACCCATTTCTTCCCGTCGAAAGGGGGACGAGACTTTAGGGTCAGATAGGAAGTCTGAAGGGAAACCTACGTCCTCCAGTTCTTTAGGATGGGGAGAATCTGTCGGGTCTGCCCCAAAAGCGCCAACAGGTGCGTCTGTCTGTCCTTCCCCCGGCCGGGCTGTCTTGGAAGGAGTCCATCTTGGTGTTCCTCGAGTGACTAATGGTGACGGCTCGACCCCCGATTTCCCCACGGTGGACACCGAGGACGTAGAAGTGACCGGCGCGTCTGTCCCATAGTCACGGCCATGGGTGACGCCATGTTGGTTTCTTCCCTGTGCGTCTGGCACAGGTCGATCCGTGGCTGGCCTGGACTCTTGTAGGGTTTTTGGGTTGACGGTCACATAATATCCCAAGCCGGTGGCCCCAGATGGGCCCCCAATGGTGCCTCCATCCGTAGGCGTGGGCGGAACAAGATGGCGGTGGCCGTGACCCCGGGAAGGACTGGGTGGGGACACAGAGGTCACAGAGCTCATGGTGGAGGCGCCATCTTGGTGCTTACCGGGTTTCTTCCCGTGTCTCCGTCGTGGCCTTTCTTGGGGTCCCAGCCGCGTGGGCTTCTGTGATCGGGGGGTGCTGACCGTGGTGTCCACCCGAGGGGCACGAGCAGGCGGCATCGTCGGGGTTGGGGGTGGAGGAGACGCCATCTTTGGGGTTTGCCTCTGCCGGTCGGCTGCTTTATGGGGGCGGAATCTCCTCTTCCCTTTGGCTCTCCTTCGAGAAGCGTGGGGGACCCCAGGAGACGGGGACGGGGTCTTGGGGCTCCATGTCACCCTGGCCGTTGGGGTGGCATCTTCGTCCCCTGGAACGGCGACCGTGTTTGGCACCCGCTGTGCCAGGGACGTGGGACGAGGAGCAGCGATGGAGAAGCCATCTTGGCTCCGACTCCACGCTGGTCCGGAGGTCGTGTAGTCGCTCTGTGATTTCCTCTTCATCCCCTTTCCGGTCAGTGGTGTTGGTTGGGCGCTCAGGCTACTTTTCTCAAGATGGCTGCTACCCGTTTGTCCCCATGGAGATGACGGAGAAGGGACCAACATGGCGGACGTCGGACGAAAGTGGGACTTCTTCCTTGTCCCCTTTTGGGTCATCGGTGGGGTTTGTTGACCGCTTAATTCGTTCCTTGCAAGATGGCCACTGGGGACATCTGGTAGACCAGAGCCAGAAACCAACATGGCGGACGTCGGTTGGACCCTCGCCAAGGTCTCGACCTCACTGGCCTCTGAATTGACCTCCAAATGGAAGTGTCCATCCGTCTCGGCCTCCGCCAAGGAGCCAGCCTCCAGCGGAGGCTCCTGCTGACCGGTTGTGACCCCGGGGACGTCTGCGTCCGACGTCGTGGGCCGAAGCCCGGCGGCTCCCTCCCCGTTGACAGCGTCCAGTGGGTCCAACGTGGACGACACGGGGCCGGACACCCGGTCATCGTCCCCGAACGGGGCCGGGTCGGCAGAGGACTCATCCTCGGGGCCGGTGGCCGTCCGTCGGGGAGGCTCGGACGGAGGTGACCGCACGGGCGATGCCGCCGTGGGTGACATTTGCGGCCCCGCGGGTGAGGGAGCGGTGGCCGGGATCTCCGTCCCCTTCCGGACATTTCTGCCCCGGACTCTGGCCAAGATGTCCGCCCAGCGCTCGGGGTTGATCTGCTTGTTGGCCACCTGGATTCTGCGCCTGGATTCGAACCTGCGGCCCTCCGCCATCTTGGCTTCCGGCTCCTTCCAGACTCTGAGCTTCCTCCGCCCTGTCTTGGCCTTGTCGTCCCCGGCCGGCGCCCTGGGGGACGCCTGGTCCTCGTCCCCCTCGCCCGAGCCGCCCTCGTCCTGGACGATGTCCCGCGTGGACTCGGACGCCGGTTTCGGGCCTGGACGCCGCGGCCTCTTGTTGGTCACGGCGACCCTGACGGTCAGACGGTCCGTCCCTCGCTGGTTGACGGCCACGCAGCGGTAGAGGCCGCCGTCCCCCGCGTGGGTTCTGGGGAGGGACAGGGACCCGTCGGGCGTGACGAAGGCGTCCGACCGATTGGCGGTGGCACCGACGGCCGTGGCGTCCGGAAGGATCCAAGTGACCGTGGCCTCGGGGACGGCGGACGCCACGCAGGGCAGCAGCAGCGGCTGCCCGGCGTCCGTGCGCACGGTGGCCGCGGGCGAGTCCGTGTGGGCGACGTTTGTTGATTGCACCGAGACCCGGTACTCTGCGTGGTCCGCGTCACCGGCCACCCGGGCCACACAGACGTACCGGCCGGAGTCCGACGGCCGCAGGGAGCGGACGGTCAGACGGCCGCTGCTGAGGACGGACAGCCGGCCGGTCGGGTCGGTCGTCGGGGCCTCCAAGACGGAGCCGTCCGGGAGGATCCAGGAGATGGACGGACGCTCGGACGCGTGGACGGGGCAGCTCAGGACGCACGAAGAGCCTTCCACAGCGGCCAGGGCCCGGGGGCCGGCCCCGTCAGCGTCCACCATGACCCAGCCGCCGGCCCCCGCGTCCCCGGCCGCCTCGCCGGACGCGGGGAGGACAAACCGCGTGCCGAAGGACAGCAGGACTTGGCCGGCCGTGCTGAGGCGCCGGTCCAGCTGGATCCGGACGGACGGCTGCAGGAGCCAGGCGGGCTCGGCCGCCATCTGCACCCGGACGCCCGTGTAGTACAGCGCATCCTCAGCGGCCTCCTGGCGGTAGCGATGGCCGTCCCCGGGCTCCCTGACCAGGGTCACCGGCTCCTCGCTGTAGTACGCGATCAGCTTCCACAGCCTCTCGTAGGTCCGCCGGGTCACCGGACAGCCCAGGTCCAGGCCCACGGTGGCGTCCACGTCCGTCCCGGCCGCGTCCGTCTGGTTCAGCTGCAGCCGGCGGATGTTGATCGACTTCTTGATGGTACAGGCCAGCTCGGCCGCGTTGCCGTGCTCGTCGGTCATGTTCAGGGTGACGGTCCACCCCGGGGAGGACAGGAGCCCCTCCAGGGCCACCTGGTGGTCGTCGGCCTCTCCGTCCTCGTCCCCGTCCTCGTCCGCGGGGACCCCCGTGCGGTTCGGCCTCAGGGGCGACCGGATGGACGGCCTGGCGCAGGTGACGTGCGTCAGCTGCTGGATCTCCCGGGTCCTCAGCAGCCGGGGACTCGCGCAGGTGGCGCACAGCTGGCCGCCCTCGTAGGCCTTGTCCTTCCGGCATTTCAGGACCCCTGGGGTGGACAGACGGACAGACACACAGAGAGACACGGGGAGGGGAAAGAAAGTCGGGCCGGGATTGCAGACGCGCCCGCCCGCGCCCGGCTCTCGAGATGGGGTCTCGCGAGCACGGCCGAGACGGACTCGATCGTGTCTGTGGGGTTTGCGTCTGCTCTCGGCCCCCTGCCTACGAAGGAATCCTAAATTTCTCGTTCTCTTCGGGTCACTCCCATCTCCTCCCCTGGGTCCTCTTTCTCTGTCCACCATCCTGGCCGGCACCATTTTGTTTCTTGCTCTGCCTCGTCCTGCATGAACCTATGGAGTTCATAGATTCAGTCAACTTCCAGGTCAGAGATTCAGTCAACATCCAGCTCAAAGATTCAATCAACATCCAGGTCGGAGATTCAGTCAACATCCAGGTCAAAGATTCAGTCAACATCCAGGTCGGAGATTCAGTCAACATCCAGGTCAGAGATTCAGTCAACATCCAGCTCAAAGATTCAATCAACATCCAGGTCGGAGATTCAGTCAACATCCAGGTCAAACGTTCAATTAATGTCTACTTCATAAATTCAGTCAACATCCAATTCATAGATTCAGTCAACATCCAGGTCAAACATTCAGTCAACATCCAGGTCAAGCTTTCAGTCAATATCCAGGTCAAGCATTCAATCATCATCCATTTCATACATTCAGTCAACATGCAGTTCATAGATTCAGTCAATATCCAGATCAAAGATTCAGTCAACATCCAGGTCAAACATTCACTTAATATCCTCTTCATAAATTCAGTCAACATCCAGGTGAAGCTTTCAGTCAACATCCAGGTCAAACATTCAATCAACATCCATTTCATGCATTCAGTCAACATGCAGTTCATAGATTCAGTCAATATCCAGGTCATAGATTCAGTTCACATCCAGGTCAAACATTCACTCAACATCCAGGTCAGAGATTCAATCATCAACATTCTGTTCATAGATTCAATCAACTTCCACTTGACAGATTCTGTCAATATCCCGGTCAAAGATTCACTCAACATCCAGTTCATAAATTCAATCAACATGCGTTTCATACATGCAGTCAACATGCAGGTCAAAGATTCAATCCACATGCAGTTCATACATTCAATCAACGTCCATTTCATAAGTTCAGTCAACATCCATCAGCTGAGTGACTGTCAGCTGCCCCTTCCTGGTTCAAACCCGTTCCCTGTGTCCTCTTCTCAGTCGTCACCAGATTTGGAGAGGCCCCTCGAGCCTCGTGACCTCCACGGAAGACAAAGATGGCGCCTCCCTGCTGCAAACCCTCAGTGGAATAGTATACAGCCCGGAACCAGGACAAAAGCGGAATAGTATACAGCCCGGAACCCAGAGAAAGTGGAATAGTATACAGCCCGGACTCCAAAGAAAACTGGAATAGTATACAGCCCGGACTCCAAAAAAAGTGGAATAGCACACGGCCCGGAACCCAGAGAAAGTGGAATAGCACACAGCCTGGAACCCAAAGGAAAGCGGACTAGTATACAGCCCAGAACCCAAAGGAAAGTGGAATAGTATACAGCCCGGCACCTGGAGAAAACTGGAATAGCACACAGCCCGGAACCCAAAGGAAAGCGGAATAGCACACAGCCCGGACTCAGTGCCGGGGTGGAGCACCATGCAGCCCGGACCCGGCCGGCTGTACCTGTGCGTGGCCGGGCCCAGCGCAGGAGGCCGTGCAGACGGCAGTCGCAGGCCCAGGGGTTGCCGTGCAGGTGCAGGGAGTCCAGCAGGGGCAGCGTGGCCATCATGGCGGGGGGCAGCGCGGCCAGGCGGTTCCCGGCCAGGTTGAGGTGGCGCAGGGTGGACGGGCCGAGGTGGCCGAGCAGCGGGACGGTGGCGAAGGTGCCGGGATGCAGCTGCCGCAGCCGGTTCCCCTCCAGGTGCAGCAGCCGCAGGGCCGCGAGGCCGCGGAAGGCCCCGGGGTGGACGGACTCGATGCGGTTGTGGTCCAGGTGCAGCCGCCGCAGGACGGACAGACCGCGCAGCGTCCTCCCCGTCACCGCCCGCAGCTTGTTGTAGCTGAGCTTCAGCACCTTCCCGCACAAAATCCCCCCACCCCACCCGAGAGACAAAAATTGGGTCAGACGTCTTCGTTCCGGGCCCGGGGTTCGAACTCGGGGCCTCGGCCTGGCCAGGAGGCTCCCGGCCGCCCGCCGGACGCGCTCGCCCCGTTTTATTGCGCGGGAACGGTTTTCGGGGATTGTGGGAGGCGCCGCGCGGCCCGGCCCGGCGCTCGAGATGGGGTCTCTCTCCGGTTTTGCTCTTTTTCTCTTCCGCCCCCTCCACCCAGGCCGGCCTCGAACCGAGGTCCTCCCCGCCTCCGCCTCCCCCGCGGCCGGCCCGGGTCCCCCGTGGGGTCGGGAAGGAGTTGGGGGATTTTTTTCCCCTGGCCCCTGCCCCCAAATGTACCTGCAGAGAGCTGAGGTCCTTCAGGGCCCCGTCCGGGATGTCGGGGATTTCGTTGCCGTGGATCAGCAGCAGCTCCAGCTTGGTCAGGCCGGAGAAGGAGGCCACGGACAGGGACTGGATGCTGTTAAAGCTGCAGGGCGGAGACCGGCGGAAAGTCCTAAGAGTTCAGTCCCGTATGGGAAATAACGGGGTCTGGGCCCCGTTCCCAATGCCACCCCCATTGGTGCGGAGGAAACCCAGAGATCGCACCTGTCCTTTGATCCATCTGTATTCAATCAACAACCCTCACCTGGATCACACCTTTCCTTTGATCCAGTATTCAATCAACAACCCTGACCTGGATCACACATTTACTTTGATCCATCTGTAGTCAATCAACAACCCTAACCTGGATCACACATTTACTTTGATCCAGTATTCGATCAACAACCCTGACCTGCATCACACCTATCCTTTGATCCAGTATTCAATCAACAACCCTGACCTGCATTACCTTTCCTATTATCCATCTGTATTCAATCAACAACCCTGACCTGCATCACACCTATCCTTTGATCCAGTATTCAATCAACAACCCTGACCTGCATTACACCTTTCCTTAGGTCCAGTATTCAATCAACAACCCTCACCTGCATCACACATATCCTTTGATTCAGTATTCAATCAACAACCCTGACCTGCATCACACCTTTTCTTTGATTCAGTATTCGATCAACAACCCTGACCTGGAATGGAACAGAAAGGCCTCAGGTCATCATGACGTTACTTTTCTTTCTTTGAGGCCAGGAATAGGGTTTAGAACTTCAAATCAGGCTTTTTAAAAAAAAATCATTTTTCCATATGTCCCCCCTTTGAGAATTGTGCTCTGAAGTCAGACAAAGTCAGGGACCAACAAGAAGTCAGTTTGCAAACACGAACGGGTGACACGAAGAGGTTGACAGCACAGCATCCCATAGACTCCAGGGCTGTCTTAGGATCTGCAAGGAAAAGGGAGTTCTTCGTCTTTCCAGGAAAATGTGGTATTTTCCAACACAATCCAGGTGTTTTCCTCAATTTGGACAAAGAAAAAAATTTTTTTAAAAAGGCTAGAAAAAAAGTATGGGGAAAAATGAGGGCGAAAAAGAATTTTTAGCAATCCCTTGCAAAATAAAAGCCATAAAGAAAATGAGGTGACCCCATTTCTGTGGTCACCTCAGTGATTTTTGATGTCTGATTTTGGCTTTTTTTTTCCTTTTTGGTGCGTCTGTGCATAAAAATGGGCCGTGATGCTTAAAATTCACCAATTACCCTTCCTATTTTAATTGTAAGGTCATACAGGAAGCCTGAAATGGGATTTCTGCTGTTTGATATTAGACCGACTTTCCGATGGTCACCTGATATTAGACCGACTTTCCGATGGTCACCTGAGATGGGGTTCCCATTACGTCATCTGATCCGGGTCATTTATATCAAGCTTCCGTTCCAGAATTTCTATTTTAATTTTTTTTATTTTATTTATTTTTTGGGCAGAATTGGGGTTTGAACTCAGGACCTCCCCTTTGCTCTTTCAAATCACTGCAGCTGTTTTTAATATTGGGTTTTTTCAAGATGGGGGTCGCACAAACTATTGCCCCAGCCTGGCCTCGAACCGCGATCCTCCTGCTCTCTGCCTCCCGAGAAGCTGGGATTATAGCTGTGACCCACAACGCCCGGCTTTCTTTCTTTTTTTTTTTTTTGATGAAAATCTTTGTTTTTCTCTTCAAAACCACAAGCACACGTGACAGAGCAGAGGACCGAGGACTCTGGCAGAGCGAATTTTCTGTGGATTTCTCAGAATGGATCATTTCGAATACCAGGTAAAGCCCCAGACCTGAAAAGTGTAGGAAGCAACGTCAGTTTGCAAACGTGTTCCAGAAAAGTCAGTCAACAACCAGATTTTAATTTTATGAGTGACGAGTGCAAAATCGTGGGTTTCCTAGACATATAGTACCTGACATAAGGCCGGGTTTACCCGACACGTCACCCACGCCTCATCTACATAAATCTGCATATCCACACGTCATCTGCATACACTGCCTCATCTACATAAATCAACATAACTACACCTGCATACTCTGCCTCATTTACATAAATCTACATATCCACACATCATCTGCATACTCTGCCTCATCTACAGAAATCTGCATAGCCACACCCTCGTCTGCACACACTGCCTCATCTACATAAATCTGCATAGTCACACCCTCGTCTGCACACACTGCCTCATCTACATAAATCTGCATAGTCACACCCTCGTCTGAACACACTGCCTCATCTACATAAATCTGCATAGCCACACCCTCATCTGCATACACTGCCTCATCTACATAAATCTACATATCCACACGTCATCTGCATACTCTGCCTCATCTACATAAATCTGCATAGCCACACCCTCATCTGCATATGCTGTCTGCACACGGCACATCGCCTATCAGCGTCCTTCGCTGCTCGGTGTGTGCAATTAAATAGACACCGCGTGTTTACCTGTGGGTTTCATCCGTGCACAGCTGAGCCCGTGCACCCCGCTTTGCACACGGCCCTGACGGGTGTTTGCAGCCACTTGCCGGAAAGGTCATGACCCCAGAGATGATCTAAGACTGTCCCCAGGGCCACCGCCTTCCAGCACGTGGACGAGACTGGGGCACGCAGAAGCCACGACGTCGTGGAGGCAATTGTGGGAGCCCCAAAACTGACAGGAACCCAAAACTGACCCGAACCCCAAAACTGACAGGAACCCAAAACTGACCCGAACCCCAAAGCTGACAGGAACCCAAAACTGACTCGAACCCCAAAACTGACAGGAACCCAAAACTGACCCGAACCCCAAAACTGACAGGAACCCAAAACTGACCCGAACCCCAAAACTGACAGAACCCCAAAACTCACAGAAACCCCAAAGTTCTCCTGGACCTCAAAATTGACCTGAACCCCAGTTAATCTGAACCCCGAAACTGACCCGAACCCCAAAATTGACACAGACCTCAAAGTTTGCTTGAACCCCAAGACTGACCTGAATCCCAAAGTGACCTGAACCCAAATTGACCTGAACTCTAAAATTGAGCTGAACCCCAAACTAACCTAAACTTCAAAGTTGGCCTGAACCCTAAAACTGACCTGAACCCCAAAGTTAATCTGAACCCCCAAAGTGACCTGAACCCCAAAATTGACACAGACCCCAAAGTTGGACGGAACCCCAAAACTGACCTGAACCCCAAAGTTGGCTTGACCCCAAAATTGACTTGAACCCCCAAAAGTTGGACGGAACCCCCAAACTGACCCTAACCTCAAAGTTAATCTGAACCCCCAAACTGACCTAACCCCAAAATTGACACAGACCCCAAAGTTCGCCTGAACCCCCAAACTGACCTGAACCCCAAGTTGACCTGAACCCCAAAGTGCCCCTCCCGGGACTGCCCGGCCCCAGGGCGGACCCGCGCGTACGCACCCCAGGTTGAGCCTCTGCGCATGCGCGGGGAGCCCGGCGGGCACCGCGGGCAGCGAGCGGAAGGTGCAGTGGACCTCGCTGGGGACGAAGCAGGCGCAGGGCGCGGGGCAGGACGGCGACGGCCGCGGCCACAGCAGGACCACGGTCAGCACCGCGGACAGCGCCCCCTGCCGGCCGCGCATGGTGGGGCCCGGCCTCCTCTCCTCGCCTGCTCGCTCTGCTGCTGCGGAGGCAGAAAAGGAGGCCAGCTGAGGCCCAAGGACCTCCGTGACCGGTGACCAGCTGACGGGGACCTGAGAGGAGCAGGGAGAAGAGAGCGAGCTCACTGTGCCCAGGTGGGAGTGGTGGAGAGAGGCAGACAGACAGACAGACAGACAGAGGGAGAGATGGGGACGAGGAGCCCGCACGTGTCCCTGTGGTAATAAACTGAATAATCGTTAAACTCTCCTTCCCGCCGCCAAAGAACCTCTTCTTCCAGCACTGACCATAAAATTCGAAAAAAATCCCCCACAAACAGGACCCTATTGGCCACTCTGGGCTCGTCCACCTCTGCCCTTTGCAAGGGAGCTGAGGCTTTGCGCCCTACCTGGCCCTTTCCATGGCTCTGCACACTTTTGCACCCAACCCTTTGCGTCCTGTCCAGGGTCCCCCCCCTGCCCGGTCCCCTGGGGTTCCCAATCCTAAGCTTTTGGGGTTTCCCTGGCTGTGCAGTTTTTGGGGTTCACCGGCCCCCGTCCCCGAACCCGGGCAGCGGGATGCCGGGCGGTTGCGCAACGCCCGTGCGCTCCCGGTGCCAAAGCGGTGCGGCGCGCGCCCCCTCGGCCAGGGCCATTTCCAGGTGGGGCTGCGACATCCAGCCCTGGGTGGCCCCTGCCCACCATCGCCACCACCGGCCACTGGTTTCCAGGTGTCCAGTTGGAGGCCTGGACTTTGCAGGGAAGGAGGGAGAGGGGTGGCAAAGGAGGGGGGCACGGGGGTGTCCTGGAGGAGGAGGAGGAGGAGGACAGACTGAAGGAGAAGGAAGAGGACAGACAGTGGAAACCGGAAAAAAAAAAAAAAAGACAGACATGGAGGACGTGAAGGAGGAGAGAGAGGTGGACCAGGCCCGGGAGGGAGGCGCAGGAAGCACGGCCAGCAAAACTTGGACAGGGTCCCCAGCACTGCAATTTGGAAAGGGCCCCCAGACTTATAGGATTCCGCTTAGAAACCAGGCTGGAGAGGGGCGCATGGAGCTGGGGAGGGGCGCACATGGCGCTGGACCCTCCCAGTCCCCTTGGAGGAGCCCCGCAGCTTTCCTGCTGACCCCCGGCCACTGCGCCAGGTGCCAGGAACTCCATGCTACCCTCTTTTTGGGGGACCCCCCTCTCCATGGAGCCCCGGGGACCCCCGCGCCCTCTCCAGCCCGTGCGCCCCCCGGGTCCCCGCTCACCTGCGCTGCGGGAGCCGCGTTCGGGCCTCGGAGCGCGGGCTTTGCGCGCGCGTCACGGGCACCGCGAGTCCCCCGAGGCCATCGCGGGCCTTGGGCCGGGCTTTTGGGGCGAGGCAGCTCGGCTTTCCCAGCTCGGCACGGCGCCCTTTTATTCTCCAAGTCCACGCCTCGGTCCACCCCCCACCACCACCCACCCCACCACCCCGGCCCTGCCCCACCCCGGGGAGACGATGGCGCCCAAGGGCCGGAGCCAAGGGGACCCTGGGCGCGCCGTGCGCCTCAGCCCTCGCCTCGCCTCTTCATTGCGCCCCCAGGGCCCGGGCCCAGCTGGGCAGCGCAGGCCGCGCCCACTTCTGCTGGACACGGATGCTGTTTTTTTTTGGGGGGGGGAAGGGAGGAAGAATGGGGACAAGGAACCCCCAAAGTGCAGGAAGGGAGGAGAGGGACGGGGACAGGGTTGGGGAGTGGACAGGTCAGCAGAGGACAGGGCAGCAGAGGGCAGAGCAGAGGAGAAAAGGGAGCCCGGCGCGCGCTGCTCCAGGCCGGATGGAAATGGAGTCGGCTCTGGCACCAGGGCCTCCCAGCCCCGCCGCCGCCCCCACCCGCGCCACGCCCTCCCGCGCGCCCCGACTCGTCGACTGACTGACTGACTGACTGACTGACGGGCTGACTGAGTGACTAACTGACCGACGGACAGGACAGACTATGGTGGCGCCCCCCCTCTCCCCACCCCCACCCCCAGCCCTTTTCTCTCCCCGGCCAAAAACCTGGGACGGAAAAGGGGACGAAAAAGGGGACCCGGAGTCAGACCTGGGAACTGGGAAGGAGCCAGACTAGGAGCGAGGACCTGAGGGGCCAAGATGGAGAACTGGATCCCACAGGGGGACGGAGGGACGGGGGACAGAAGGACGGGGAACAGACAGGGGACAGGGACACATCTGTCTTGGGTCTCCGCCTGCCCCGAACCCAGCGCACACAGTTCAGTCAGCGCAGTCCCAAAGTCCTGCTGCCCCCGAATCACGATTATGCGGTCAACAAACGAGAGAGAAAGAGAGAGAGAGAAAGAGAAAGAGCCGTGGCATTCACAACCCTCTGTCTGGTCTTTCTTTCGGGGTGCTGTAGGATTTCAGGCCGGGAAACCCCTCAGGCCTGACCCCATAGGATGGACGGTGACCGGGGTCTCTGCTCCCTCCCAGGTTAATAGACTGACTATTTGTGATCTGAGAGACCCGCCCCCCCCTCATATTTCTTTCCTGGGGTTTTTCCTTTTTTTTTTTTCAGACATACCACTCACCTTTTTATCTTTTCCATATTGCCCAGGACCCCACATGCCAAAAAGAAAAAAAAGAAAAAAAAATCCCCCAAACCAGCCAAATTCCCAAAACTGATGAGTGCACACTTTTCAAGTCCCCTGCTGTTCCCAGCAGCCCTTCTCTCTTGACCACAATAGGGGGAGAAAGAAAAAAAGAAAGAAAAGAAAAAGAAAAAGCCCTAAATATGTTCACATAGCTAAAAAATGGGGGAAAAAATGCAATTTTTTGGAGTCTGCAGTGGCTTGGAAATCCCCGCGGGGATGACAGCCAGCCTGGCTTGCTTTTTCCCTTTTTCTTTTTTTTTTTTTTCCCTTTTGAGTAAAAACAGACATTCAAGAATATTTCGGCAGAAATCCGCCCCAGGTCTGTTTCAGGGCAAACCTTCAACGCTCATTTATCTTTTAATTTTATTTAATTTTATTATTTTTTGGCCTGGCTTTGCTCAGCTGCCCCGGTTCTGATGCGTTTGGGGGAAAAGACGGTTCTGGGTTTCCCTTGCACACAAATGCAATCATGCATTGCCAAATAAATGCATTTGCAGGTCTGCAAATCAATCAATCAATCAATAAAAAACCTGAGGTCCCCCAAGCCCACACCCCCCAAAAACCCCAAAACTCCCCCAAAATGGGGCTGAGCTGCATGCATGCAGGAAGCTGGGACTTTGTGCAACGGGACCCCTTTGCCACCAGCTGCAAAAAATGACTATTTTTTTCCCCCAATTCCTCTGGGTAGAGAATGGAATCCTCTCAGTCAGGGGATGAGATCATAGGGTTTTTCCCCCCCACCCTTCCTCGCCTCACTCCCACACCGCACATGGCTTTTGGGGTCTAGGGCGGGGAGCCCGGAGCAGAGCCCCATGTTCAAAAGACCTTCAAAGCCTCCCCCTAGCTGCCCAGAAATACCCCATTGCACAAAGCCAGGCCCTAAAGGATGAACGCAGAAAATCCTACAGGGGCCCCGCGCCCAGAGGGAACCCGGCCTCCCGCGGGAAGGACGCTGCAGGTCGCCCGCCTGCAATCCCGGCCGCGCGGAGGCTGCGGCGGGGCGGACCGCGGTTCGAGGCCAGCCCCGGGCGACAGCTGGCAGAGGCCCAAGGTGCAGAATCGCGGCCGGAAAGCGGGCTGAGGGGCCAGGCGCCGGCTCGGCCAGGGCCTGAGTTCGAATCCCAGTCCCACCCAAAGGGGGAAAAAGAGAAAAGTGCACGGAAAACACCCCAAAATGCAGCAGGCTCACGTTCCTCGTGCAAAACTCCGGAGTTGGTGAGGACAACCCAGACTCCACTTATGATAAATCGGAATATAATATATAATAGAACATAAAATAATATAATATAAAATATAATACAGTAAGATATACTACAGTATACTAAAAATACTGTAATAAAATATAAAATAAAATATTGTACAATGTACTACCAAATACTACAATAAAGTAAAATATAATACAATATCATATAATAAAATATGATATAATACTATAATATAATACAATATGATATAATATATAATAAAATATAAAACAATAAAATACAAAATAATATAATATAATAAAATAAAATATAATATAATATAATACAATATAATATAATATAATATACAATATAATAAACTATAATATAATACAATACAATATAATAAAATAAAATATAATATAATACAGTATAATATAATATAATACAATGCAATATAACATAATAAAACATAATATAATACAATATAATATACTATAATACAATATAATAAAATATAATAAACTATAATATAATAAAATACAATATAATACAATACAATATAATATAATAAAATATAATATAATAAAATATAATAAAATATGATATAATACAATACAA